ATGTCTGGAATTTGTAACATCATCAAGACATACACATTTATAGAAGTAAAAGGCATCTGGTGGTTCTCAAGGGGAGGGGCTGGCGGGGTGGGTGAAAAGGGGGAGAAGGGCAATAACGTGATACCTTTGCAGGGAGACAGATGGTTCTAGACTCTCGTGGGGAGCACATGTGAGATAAATATCAAATCTGTGGTGTATCCCTGAAGTTCATAGGCTATTGTGTGTCAGCTCAACTTTATAAAAATATTCAACTACAAATGATTAGTAAAGGAATAGCAAAATTTTTATAAAGGAAGATATAGGAGAAACATGATACGGATGGCAGTAGCTACTACTGGGAATATCAACCACAAAAAATCTAGGAAAATTTATAGAGAACATTCAGTTTTGAACACATTGATCATACCTATAAACCTCAGCCTAAAAGCCCATTTTAACAGAAGAGATGAAGCAGCAGAAACCACAAAACCTTGCACAGACTTTGACAGAATAGGAGCAGGACATTATAGAAAATGGGATAACAACACATTAGAAAAAGTATTTCCAAATGAAGGCCTTCAAATGTACACATGATGAGGAAGAAATCTCTGCCACACTGTGTACAGATTAAATACACTGATACTGTTACCAAAAATTGTCCAACTGAAATCCTATGCAGGGGGTTTTATTCCTAAGATCTTTCACGCACTCACACACACACGCACACACACACACACACACACACACAGGAGGTGCATGCACCCACACAAATGCATGCACATGCAACTGAACTGACACAAACTCATCTTAAGAAAACAAGAAAGAAGTACATCTTAACACGTTAAAATAAAATATTTTAAAATTGATTTTTAGAGGGAGATGATGGGAGAAGGAAGAGAGAGAGAGAGAAACATTGATGTGAGAGTGATCACAACAGTGTCTCCAACCTGCCCCTGGGTTCATTGTCCCAGGACACCTGCCCGACTCTGCCCCTGGGTGTCCCAGGGTCCCCTGCTCTGTCACAACCAGGTTGAGAAGAGACGTCATCACCTCACCTCCGACAGGGAATAGACTCAGAAAGAAGAAACACCTGCTCCAGGCTGACAGTCCACCCACGTCACAGCTCTGATTTCAATTAAATGTGGAATCACCTCTCACCCAGGGATTGCAGATAGAACCTAGCGGGGTAAAAGGACTGCTGCCCAGGAGAAAATGGGGGCTGAGGAGGCAGAGATGACTCGGATGTTCTGAAAGAGGGAGATAAAGAGAAAGAGGGTGCTACTGATAGAATGAGGACGTTACTAATGGGAAGTGTTAGGGAGAAAGAGCCCAGGCCAGGAGCAAGAATTTTTTTAGAAATTGTTAATTGTTGCCAGGATTACAGATGACCCCCATCACCCGTCCCTTGCCTCCCTCCATCCAGTGGCTGCCCCACCGCATGCCTTTGCACAGTATTCCCTGTGTTAGTGGGATGTGCATATTGGCATATATGTTATTTGGTTAATCTCTTCCTGTACTCCCTCGCCCCTCCCCTCTGTGGTCTGTCAGTCTGTTTCATGCAGTCATGCCCTGGACCTACTCTGTTCATCAGTTTATTTTGCTTAGTAGATTCCATGTCAGGTTTTGGAATTAGGATAATGCTTGCCTCAAAATAGAGCGTAGGAGTCTTTCTTTCCCTTGAATTTTTTAGAATCGTTTTGGAATAAGAAGATACGCATATGTTCTCCTTTGAGTGTTTGGTAAAACTCCACTAGGAAGCAGTTAGGTTCAGGATTTTTGTTTGTAAGGATTTTTGTTTGTTTGTTTGCTCGATTGTTTTTTTAGTGCTCCAATGCCATTAGTTATTACAGGTCTATTCAGGTTTTGTGATTCTTTCCTGACTCAGTTTTGTAAGATTGTATGTTTCTAGGAGTCTGTCCTTACTGTTCAGGTTGTCCAGTTTGTTAGCATATAGTTGTTTAATATTTTCATACAATTTTTTGCATTTCTCTAGTGTGTTGTTCCTTCCCCTCTTTTGTGTATGATTTTGCTTATTCGTGTTCTCTCTCTTGTTTCTTGTTGAATCTGGCTAGAGGTTCATCAATCTTGTTTAGCTTATGAAACAACCAGCTCCTGGTTATATTGATGTTTTGAGTGTTTTTTTTTTTTTTTTTTAAGTCTGTATGCCATTTATTTCTACTCTGATCTTTATTATTATTTTTCTTCTACTCACTCTGGGTTTTCTTTGTTGATTTCTTTCTAAGTTTTTTAGTTGTAGTGTTAGATAGTTTATTACATATTATTCTTGTTTCTTAGGTAGGCCTGTAATGCTATGAACCTCCTCAGAACTGATGCGTAGGATCAATTCTAAGGTGGCTGACTGTAAGGCTCAACTCTCTCCATGTTGTGCAATTGCTTGTACAGGTGCTTACAGACTAAAACAAACATAAAAATAACAGAACGTGACATGAGGCAGGTCTGAAAGTACACCTGGTTCCACAGACTCACTAACCTGTCTGGAACCCCATGAGGTAGAGACCATGATATGCCCCCTATACTGCAAGGATCTGTCATGATTCAGGTGACTCCACATGAATGGTCAAATGTCATTCTTCCTTCTGCTCCATTTAGTTAGGAATCTCAGCTTTTCAACCTCTCGAAGCTCTAACATCTGCATCTCATCTGAATGGCTGGTTTTCTTTCCCCCATATCTCAGGAAGAGTGGGCTCTCACCACATTCGTAGAGGGTTCATTGGTATCACTGAGCTACATGCACATGAGGGAAGTGAGACCATGAGAGCAAGTGAGCTGCTCAAGTGTCCGTCAACCATTCGGGATGTGTTAGTGCCACAGCTGCCTTTTACAACGAGTCTGTGTAGCCTGGCTGGTGTGGCTCAGAGCACTGAGCATTGTCCCATGGAGTGAAAAGTCCCGGTTCCACTTGCGGTTGGTACACAGGCCCAAGTTGCAGGCTCGATCCCCAGAAGAAGGCATGCAGAAGGCAGCTGATTGATGTTTCTGGTTCACATTAATGTTGAAATTGATCTCCCCATTCCCCTCTTTCTAAAAAACATGATCAACAGATATTTTAGAACAATAAAATAGGGTGTCTGTGTACAAAAGACAAACTTTATGCTAATGTAAAATAATACATGATAACGTCATGCATTACTTTTTAAAATGAAGAGTGTGCTTTCAAAACTACACAATAAAAAAAGTTATCTGAACAATCTGAAAAAGATGTGTCTCTGTGTGTGTTTACTGCCTTTAAACAGAATCTCTTGAATTTCAATTTTTGGGAATCGTGAAAGGTCTTTACGGCTTGAAGAGGAGAGTGACAACCAGCTTCAAAGTGCTCCAAAAAAACAGAGATGACTTAAATGATTTATCCCAAGGAGATGGAGGTAGAGATTTATTGCCAACAGAAACAGAACATCAGGTGAAAACAGTAAGAAGACCCTGGGTTTCAGGGCCAGGAGGAAGAGCTGAACTTTTCCGTGGGAGCAGAAGCATACGACAGAGCCCCCAGGCTCATTTCTCTCCCACCTCTGGGCTCCCTGTCTCTGAGGCCACCTTGCTGTCCCCATCAGCAAGGCAGGAAGGGAAGGTCACCTTCCCACCCACAAAGGCAGCAGTCATGTTTTCAACCTTCCAGTGTTCTGAGCTCCACCCTTGACTTCCCTACCACAGGTCACCTCCACATTGTTCTTTCCAACTTATATTTAAGGGTCTCTATTTTCTGCTGAAAATCTTTTCATGGTCCCCACGATTTTTGGGTAAATACAGATTCTTCTGTCTGAACTGAAAACTGCTCATGGTTGTTCAGATGTGACCCTCCTACCTGAGCTCTCAATCCTGATTTTTTCACCAATACAAGTGCAGTTACCTCGTGAACCGACATCACACACACATCACACACACTCGCAGACACACACACACGCACAGTGATACACACACACACACTCACTCACACTTTAACACATTTACATCGTCTGCTACTGCCTATCTGTGGGCTCTGCTAGAGTTCTATGCAACTCGCAAATCCCTTCCCATCCCAGAGCTAAAGCCCAGACTAGAAGTAACACGATTTCTTCTTCTCATTTCTCTTCTCTGCATGTGGTGTTGACTGTTAAGGGTTAAGAGAGGATTTTGTGGTAAATCCATGTTGCCATTTATGTAACATTGTTAGAAACACAGGATGGGAAATCAATTACTGTTTATATGTTTTTTTTCTATATTTTTGCGTTTCTCTAGATTGTATGATCTTCATAACCCAGTCTGACGATCACAGTCCATTCCTATGTATGCCTTTTGCCTTAAGGACATAGTCCCACCGCTTTGCCTGGGGGAGCACACCATGATCAACCACCACCTCACCCTCTCTCACTGCTGTTCTAGGGTCTCTCTGTCTCTTGGGTTCTGTAAAATGTTCTTTGCTCTTAAGAATAGTCTCACTTTCACCTCTAAGGATTCCACATCTTCAAACACCCATTGCCTCAATCACAGTATAGTCACTGTCCCAGTTGTTCTCATATTTTCTCTCATTTCTCTTTTGTAAGAAACATACTTTCAGTGTTAGGCTTAGAAAGCCAAAACTCTGCTAATAACAATTTCTCAATTACAGGAAATGGATCCTGGATCACGGATGTGTTTGTGGTTCTGGCCCAAATACTCAACAAGGTAGTAGATGATCAAAAAACATTTTTTTGGATAAGCAAATACCAAAATTTAATTCTGTGTGTGGAAGGCTGAGGAAATGTGTAGGGAGTTCTATTGGGAGCCATCCAGTCAGGGTGAACTCAGAATGAGAACCCGAGATCTTCCCTTCCTGAGAAGGAGTTCAGACCTGGTTGAATGTCCTGGGTCAGAAAAAGACCGAAATCTTGGCCAAGTGTCCCCAGAGGTCCTGCAGTCCTCAGGAGGACTCGTCATGATAACACCCAGATCCCTGACAGGGCGGGGCGGACCCTCTGCTTAGGTTCACAGTGGTGGGAACCGGAAGGTGGCAGAAGCTCCTGACACACCACATCCTGTGCGTCTCCACCCTCAGGCCAGGGTCAGTCCATCTGCAGAGCGGAAGCTCTTAGAGCAGTTTCCATGATGTCCATCCTCCCTGCTCTTCTCTGCCTCGGTCAGTTGTGGACATGGGGAGCAGGCTGGCAGAGGGAACAAGGAGCTTACACACCCAGTTCATGGGAACCTCAGGCTCGGGCAGCAGTGTGGACGGGAGACAGAGGGAGGAGAATGAGCTCAGACGTCCAGAAGCAAATCTCTCACACGGTCTCTCTTCCAGGGCTGAGTCTGGACCAGAGGATCCACACGCGGTCAGGTGAGTCCCTCCCAGGCTGCATGTCCCACCTCTTCCCTCACACCTGGAGCTCAGGACAGAGCACAGAAGTCCAGGGATAAGGTGATAAAATGTGAGCATTTGGGGCTGAGCAGGGATCTGAGGGTTGGGAACATCTTTGTGATGCTGTCTGATTTCCTTCCAGGGACCCTCCCCAAAGCCACCCTCTGGGCTGAGCCAGACTCTGTGATCCCCTTGGGGAGACCTGTGACCCTGTGGTGCCAGGGTGTCCTGGAAGCCCAGGAGTTCCGTGTGTTTCGTAATCAAGGGCGTGTGCATTCAGAGAGACAGATTCCAGGGAAGCCCAGGGACAAGGTCCAGGTCTCCATTACCCACATGACAGAGCATGATGCAGGGAGATATCGCTGTTACTACATCGGCCCCATTGGATGGTCAGAGTTCAGTGACATTCTGGAGCTGGTGGTGACAGGTGAGGGGACATTCAGGGGTCCCAGCTTCAGGCTCTGCCCTGAGGGTGTCTCCTCTCTCACAGCCCCGCCTTGGGGGACACGAGGGAGGTTTCAGCTACCTAATTTTACAACCTACCTCTTTTTCTTCTAGGATCCTACAGCAAACCCAGCCTCTCAGCCCTGCCCAGCCCTGTCGTGACCTCAAGAGGGAACATGACTTTCCAGTGTGGCTCAGGGCAGAAATTTGACAGGTTCATTCTGACTAAGGAAGGAGAACACAGGATCTCCTGGACCCTGGACTCAGAGAAAAATTCCAGTGGGCTGTCCCAGGCCCTGTTCACTGTGGGCCCCGTGAACTCCAGCCTCAACTGGACATTCAGATGTTATGGCTGTTTTAAGAAAACTCCCTGGCAGTGGTCCGACCCAAGTGACCCCCTGGATTTACAGTTCTCAGGTGAGGAGTTCATGACCCCTTTGTGTCTGAGCAACATCATCTCAGGGTCCTGTCCCCAGCAGACAAGAAAAGTTGGATGAGGGTGAGGGGCTGTGAGGGATGGTCACCCAGCAGTGATCTACCCCTTAAAGCTGCTCTAATCTTTGCCTACTTATTTCTGAAGCTTGAATTTGGAAGGTTGTAGGTGGCCAAAGGCATGTCTTTGGTGGCAAGACAGAGCATATACAGGAGAAGATATTGAGGGTTTTGGAACTGCAGGGTTAGCCCCAGCCTCTCACCCTCTTGTATCCTCATTTTCAAAACCCCCTGTGGGCACCAGACCCCCACCCACAGATTCCATCTCTATAGCTGGTGAGTCACTGGGACTCTGCTCAGAGGGAGCACAGAGCACCCAGAAATTCCTGAGAGTCTGTCAGGGGATCTAATGTCAATTAGATACTCAAGGACAGGCTTGTGTCCAAGGGGGGATGTGGCTGGGAGTTTCTGGGCCTTGAAGCTGGCAGGTGGCAGGTGGGGTGGTCATGACAGAGGGAGATGTTGGGAGCCAAGTTGGGGAAAGAGAAACTGGGCTCCAGGGATTAGAGAGCAGCCTCCACCCCTCACCCCCATCCAGATGCCCAAGAAGCCCTTAGGATAGTCCCACCTTCACAGTGATTTACACCCACATTGGTGTAGCTGAGGGTCTCTGTGGGGGTGGGTGGGTGTGTTCATGAGAGACAGAGGCTGAGTCATAGGGAGTTCAGGCTCCTCTGGAGACTCTTACATAAACACACCCTTCCCCTGTCTGGGCCTCAGGGTCCCTACCTGTGCAAGATAGATTGGTGGCCCAGAGCTTCGATTTCCCTTCAGTTCTGGCTCTGACCTTCTGGGTGGAGAGGCCACACCAGAAAGTGCCAGGACATGATTTTATGGAAAATGTCCCCTCTGTAGCAGTGATGGTGACATGCACAGCGAGGGGCAGGCAGGACAAGGGTCTGGGGCATCCAGGTCCTTTCCCTCAGCCCAGGCTCAGCTCTGAGGAGAGAGGGCTGGAGTCAGACCTGGTTCAGTTCCCAGCTCTGCTGCTCCTGCTGGGAGTCACTTGGTCCCTTCTCTTCCCTGAGTGTTAGGTTATGTCTGTCCAACCCTGGTCCACTTTTGCTCACAGGCGGCTGTCAGATGAGGTGACATAAGGGGGCTCAAGGGGCTCAGGAAGGCAGAGCCCCAGCCCAGCCAAACATCCTTCGCTCTAGGATGGCTCCTGAGACACCCTCCCTCTCTGTGCATCTGGGCACTTTTCTCCTCAGGGTAGAAAATGACTCTGCTGTTTCAGTCACAGAACCAGAAGAATACTTTGCTTTTGTTCAAGGGGAGAACATTCAATCCCCTCCCCCCTTCCAAGGCTTAGATTGAAGTACAGAGCCAAGCAGTTCAGGGCAGAGTTCTCCATGAGTCCTGTGACCTCCACCCACGGGGGCACCTGCAGTGCTAAGCTCACTCAGCACCGCCCCCTACCTGCTGTCACAGCCCAGTGAGCCCCTGGGGGCCCCTGACCCTGTTCTATTAGGATCAGCCAGCCCATGGTCCTGTCTCTTCAGAGTCTGAGACAATAATACATGAGAGGTTCCAGGGGCTCTGCAAAGAAAGACACTCAGGACCCCTTGACTCCAACCCCTCCTCCATGGATCCGGGGTCCTTAGCCGTGGAGTAAGTGGGATCTTTCAGGCTTGGAAGAAAAAGCTTATGGGGTCTGTGCTTCACACCAAACACAGAACACGCAGCAGTAATCATTCTGTACTGAGACCATCCCTCTTTCTTTTAGAACTCTTGGGCACAGTTCCATTCAATCAAAGTGACCCAGAGCTGGTCTGGACTCAGAGATCACAGGAGGTTGAGATCATCCAATGTGGAGACCAGGGACCTGGCAGAGATGAGACGGGGCTCATTAGGGGACTGTGTAAATGTTGTGATCTGAGAGGTTGTGGCATTTGACAGCAAAGACCACAGGAGGAAGGCTCTTGTCTCCCCAAGTCCTCACTCACACCCTCATTCACAATTCTCAAAATCCTGAATGGGAGAAATTCAAGTTATGGGGCTGAGCTCAGAAGGTGAAGTCTTCCCAGAGACAGGTCTGCATTCCCAGGAGCAGTGCACCAGAGTCCCCTTTTCTCCACACCCTCGCCAGCACTTGTTTGAGGATTTGTTGATGGTGGTCATTCTGGCAGGTGTGACATGATACCTCAAAGTCATTTAAATTTCCATTTCTCTGATGATTAGAGACACTGAACATGTTTTTCTATGTCTCTTGGCCACTTGAATGTCCTCTTTGAAGCGGTGTCTATTAGGTTCTCTGTCCACTTTAATTTGGATTGCTTGTCTTCCTTTTGTTAAGCTTCATGAGTACTTCATATATATTGAAAGTTAACCCCTTATTTCTTGTTTCATTGACAGATACAGGTTCCCCCAGAGTGGGTTTAGTTTTCATTTTGGTGCTGGTTTCAATTGCTGTACAGAAGCTTTTTATCTTGGAGCATATGCATAAACAATAACACAGACATAGTGAGGTGAAGGCAGGGCTGGGGTGGAAGTGGGGAAGAGTGTGTCAATGGGGGAAAAAGAGAGACATCTGTAATACTTTCAATGATATAAAAAGAAATAAGAATGTGAGACATAGAGGTAGAAAGAGAGAGAGGTTCCCTGAGGTGTTAGTCAGGATTCTGGGGTAATCTGGATGTACTCTGACCTCTTTGATATTTTCACCCACAATTCCTACTTTCCCATCGCCAAGACTACACCGTGGAGAATCTCGTACGCATGGGCGTGGCTGGATTGGTCCTGGTGGTCCTCGGGGTGCTGCTATTTCAGGCTCAAACCAGCCAGAGTAGGACCCATGATGCAGCCAGGAGGCGAACCCAGCAGGAACAATGGACTGTTGAGTGGGATCCTTGAAGCCCATCTGATGACCTCAGGAGGAGGTGAAAGAAAACATGGACCATGAAGAATTGGGAACACTGTCTGCTGAGGGAGTTCGGGGGAGTGAACACGGTTTGGGTGCAGGAAATGCCTGAGTGCTCCCAGTACAGGACTCTTCCTCCATTAAATGTGTGTTTTCTCTCCCTACTGAGGTGGTCTTTCTTTTTTTTCTTTTACCCTCACTCAAGGACATTTTTTCATTTTTTGTTCAGATAGAGTGGGAGGGACAGAGAGGAGGAGAGAGAGAGAAACATCAACGTGAAAGGGACACATCGAGTGGTTTTCACCCGCACGACCAACCAGGGCCGGGGACAAACTCCAACGAGGTCCATGCCCTTAGCGGGAACTGAACCCTGGTCTCTCTGCAGCACAGGCCGACGCTCTAACCGCTGAGCCAAACCAGTCATGGCCTGAGGTTGTCTTTCTAAAACAACAGCTTTTCTTTCTCCACTCTTTCACTTGAGGGACCATCCCACATGGTTGGTTAGTGTCCACATATCTAGTACCCCATGCTCTCCTCCACTGTTATTTAATACAATTTTTAAATTTCTAATCACCGAATCATCAGAGGGATATTACTGAATTTTCATCTGTCCAGTCACAGAATGTGAGTGTGATGCAATTATTGAGGAAAAGGGCAAAATGGGGCACAGACTTGGAATGGTGATCCCAAAGTAACGCCTACCACCAACCCCAGCCCTGAGCTCCATCATCTCCAGCCCGATACCATCGATCTCATTTTCTTGATAGGTCATAGCTGGGATGAACACATCTGTGTTTCAAGGGACAATCTGTGAGTGTTGCCTCTGAAAAGGCATTTCTAGAAGGCTCTGATTGGTGGGATTTACCAATTTCTTTATAAATCTATATCTATATATCATCCCGCATATGTGCAGTGAGATATTCACACAGAGTGAATAAAATGCTGCCATTGGTGATAATGCTGAGGGACTTTGAGGGCATTATGCTATGTGAGATAAACCAGACAGATAAAGACAAATACTTATTATCTCTCATATATGTGAGATCTTAAAAAGTCAAACCCACAGAAACAAGGAGTACATTGGTGTTTACCTTGGGCAGGATGTGAAGTGAGGAGATGTTGGTCAGAGAGTATGTAGTTTCAGGTATTTGTTTACCAAGTCCTGGGGGTCTAATGTGCAACATGATGATTACAGCGAACAACACTCTAATATATACCTGAAAATCTTGATAAGAATTACCCTAAATGGTCTCACCACAAAAAAGTTGCATCTATGTGATTGTTTGATGAAATTGTTAGCTAATTGTAAGGTAGTATCTTATTGCAATATTTAAGTATGAAATCAACTTACACTTACATAATGTTATAGATCAATTACATCTTATTAAAGCTGAAAAAATAATTTCCAGTCCTGATGTAAGAGAAACTTACCTAGAGAGCAGGACAGGTAATGGAGTCTGATGATAGCAATGTTGCTACCAATATATCCACTTATCTACTATCTGTGTGTACCTGTATCTGTGTCAGTCAGTCTGTCTATCTGTTTATGTGTCTATCTGTCTTATCTATTTATCTATCATTTATCTATCTATCTATCTATCTATCTATCTATCTATCTATCTATTTATCTATTCATCTATCATCTATTACGTATGTTTGTATCTATTTATGTATCTATCCATCTTTTTATTAATCTATCTGTCTATCTATCTATCTATCTATCTATCTATCTATCTATCTATCTATCTATCTATCTATCTATCTATCTATCTATCTATCTATCTATCTATCATCTATCACCTATGTGTGTCCATCAAACTCTCTCTTCTTCAGACTCTCATAAAAATAATTACTTCACTCTTAAGCTACCCAGATAGTTGTATTTTGTTGCAGTAGACTTACCAAGTGAATAGATTCTTCTCTCTCTCTCTTTTTCTCTCTCTATTTATCTCAACAGTTTTGAATCCTATACAAGAAAGTCAATAAACCCCCAAAACAACACAAAGCATTTTCTGTAGGTTTTGACCTTGCTTTTTGTTTGGCACAGAGTAACAATTATGCAACTGGTACAAGGCCTCATAGATATTAGGTGTCAGAGAGATTTCATATTTCTTCTGAACATTGTTTTATGTCATGAACCATTTCATAGCTTAACTTGGCCCAAGAAAATTGAATACTCTAAACCTAATAATTTTATTAGTTTCCAATGGCAGAATGCTATGTTAAAATCAATAGGACCTGGAGCCTATTAAGCTAAGTAACCAGCCAGTCAGAAAAAGGCAAATACCACACGATCTCTCTAATATGTGGAATCTAATGCACAAAATGAATCGATTAACAAAAGAGAACCAAAGACTTGGGTACCTGACACAGACGAACAGAGGTCAGAGGAAAAGGAGCTGAGGGCACGTGATGAAAGAAAGTGGGGATATTAGGCAAAGAACATACACAAATAGCCAAGACACAGGGAACAGTGTGGTGAAGACCAGAGGAGGGGGAGGTGGGAAAGGTTGGGGGTGGTGGTTAAAGGGCTGGAAAATGGGAGACATCTGTAATTGAAATACTTTGAAAATTAATATGTGATTGTAGAGTTTAGAGAAACCAAATAGAAGTGTTTAGACAGGAGACATGTTCAAGGATGTGGCTCAAGTCACACCCTCAGGACCTGCTATTTTTAGGGTGACAAGAGCTGGTCCTCTGTCTGTGTGACAAGCACCTTGCACACTGTACACCCTGTGGTGTGAGGACAGTGCCCACCACATCCTGTTTACTAGTCTCTTGAGCTTCACATTAAACATGGAAAGTAAATCATCAGGAGCTTTGCTAATAGAATGTCCACTGAGAGTTCACACCTTTTCCTGATGTATTAACCACACGAACCCCAGAACTCACCAGTCAGGGGAGGTCAGTGACATTAAAGGGTCAAGCAGATCCAGACCTGGTCCAACCTTGACCATGAATGTACATGTGTATCTAGGAGGATATTCTTAAAACCATCGACCACCACCATCTCCCCTAATTCTGTCCTGTTCTGTATGTTAATCTGAGGGGTGGGAGTGGATTCAGCACTGGGTTGTGGACAGCTCCACCTCTCTACAGGGCACATAAATATGAGTATATGGCTTACATGAGTATTATGGAGAATATATTTTTTAGGTCTATGTTATAAAAATTATTTATTTTCACTACAAGTATAGTTGGATTTTATATAGAAGTTTTATTTTGGTGTTTGAGCATCAAGAACACGTTCAACATAATAAACAAGAGCTCATTTAGATGACATAACAGGAGACAGAGATGGTGGTGGGCAGGACTGGAGGGAGGGTGAGTGAGCAGGTGAGAGAGAGAGTGAGTGGACGTGAGTGTGGACGAGCAACCTCGAGCAGTGCAGAATCACGGGCAGAAAGTTCCTGGGCTGTGGACGGGGAGCAACTGGCTATCACGGTGAGCGGCTGGTCTGGACGCTTCTCCCTGAGCGACTAGGAGGCCTCACGATTTTGGAAGCTTTCTTGTCTAACATCGTGATGTAAATCTGTTGACTGGTTTTGTTTCCCTATATCTCAGGGAGGGTGAACTCTCACCACGTTTGCAGGGGAGGAGTTGGAATCACTGAGCTACAAATGAGGGACGTCAGACCAACAAAGGACGTGAACCGCTCAAGGATCAGTCACTCATTTGGAATGTGGAAGTGCCCAAGCTGAGATTTAAAGTGTGCATGTTTTTAAAATGAAAAACTTTAACTAAGCTATAATCTATTACTTTTATACTAAGAAGTGTGTCTTCAAAAATCCACTATGAAAATGAAGATAATAAGACATCCTGCAAAAAAGTGTGTCTATATTTGTTTGTGTTTACTGCCTTCAAACAGACTCTCATGAATGCGAATTTTGTGTGAATCCTGAAATGTCTCCACAGTTGGAAGGGGAGAGAGACACCAGCTTCTTAGATGCTCTGAAAAGGCAGAAATGACTCAACTGATTTGCCCCAAGGAGATGGAGAGAGAGGTCCACTGCTCAGAAACAGAAAGTCAGGTGGAGACCGTGTGAGGACAACCTGGGATCCAGGGCCAGAGGAAGAGCCGAGCTTCCCTGTGGGAGCAGAAGCACATTGCACAGCCCCAGACTCGTCCCTCCCCCACCCCTTGGCTCCTGTCTCTGATGCCACCTTGCTGTCCCCATCAGCAAGGCAGGAAGGGAAGGTCACCTTCCCACCCACCAAGGCAGCAGTCATGTTTCCAACCTTTTTGGGTTCTCAGCTCCACCCCCTCACTCCCTTCTCCTGGTCACACCCCACATGGTTCTTTCCAACGTAAATTTTGAGTCTCTTCATGTTTTTGCTCAAAATCCTTCCATGGTCCTCTCTCTCTCCGAGTAAAGTCAAACTCTTCTGTCTGAGGTGAAGGCGGCTCATGGTCGTCGAGATGTGACCCTCCCATCTCAGCCCTCACTTCTGATTCCCTCATCGTGGCAAGTGCAGTTACCCCCTGACACACACCCACACACTCATGCACACACTCAGTCACATGTAAACACACTCACACCATCTGCTGCTGACCACGTCTGTAATTTCCTTGATTCTATACAACCAGCAAATTCCTTCCCAATCCCAGAGCTAAAGCCCAGACTGGAAGCAACACACAGATTCTTTCTTCTCATTTCTCATCTCAGCATGTGATTCGGACTGTGAAGGGTGAGCAAGCACCGTGTGGTAAATCCTTGCTGCCTGTCGTGTAACATGGTTGGAAACACTAGAACTGAAGATCAATTACTGTTGACATTGTATTTCATTTCCATATATTGTATTTTCTGGATCATATAATCTTCATAACTCAGTGTGACCATCACAGTTTATTCCTATGTGTTGCCTTTGCCTTATGGACATAATCCCACCTCCGTTTATGGGGGCAGCATCCCCACAATAAACCAGCACCACACTTTCTCTTACTGTTTTTTGGAGCGTCTCTCTGTCTCTAGGGTTCTCTAAAACGTACTGCCCTCTCAAGAATATACCCAGTCCCAACTCTAAGGATCGCCCATCTTCAAACAGCCATTGCATCATCCACAGTTTAGTCACAGTCCCAAGTTCTCATACTTTCTTTCATTTTCATTTTCATGTAGTGTAACTGCAACATCAGCCTTAGAATGCCCACACTGTGCTTAGAATAGTTCTCAAAATACAGCAAATGGATCTTCTAGATCACACACATATTTATGTTTTTGGCCCCAAACCCAATAGGTACTAATTGACCAGTAAATATTTATTCATGGGCAAGGCAGAGAACAACGGTAAATTTTATTCGAGAGACCCTGATAAAATTTGTAGTAATTTTTATTTATAGCGTCTACGTGGGACAAAAAATGGTTCTTGTTGTGTCCGAGCAGGAGTACAGCCAGGCAGAGTCCTGGGACTCAGAAGAGCCCCCACGTTTGTGCTGAGTGTCTCCACAGACCCTGGAGTCCTCCTGTGCCCTCGTCATGGAAAAACCCAGATCCTGGGCCTGGGCGGGGCCGTCCCCCTGCTGTGGGTCCATAGCTGAGGGGACCCGGAAGGGAGGTACAAACTTCTGACTCCCCACATCCTGTGCGTCTCTGTCCCCAGGCCCAGGGTCTTGTCCTTCTGCAGAGCACTCAGAGCAGGTGCCATGACGTCCCTCCTGTCCGCTCTTCTCTGTCTCGGTCAGTTGTGGAGATTGGCAACAGGAGGAGTGAAAGTCTACACCCCTGTGCATGGCAACCTCAGGGGTCAGATGGCTTCAGTAGAGGAGACCCTGAAGGGGAAGAATCATCTCAACCACCGGGAGCAAATCTCTGAGTGGGACTCTCTTCCAGGGCTGAATCTGGACAAGAGGATGCATTTTCCACGAGGTGAGTCCTCCTCTGGCTGCATGTCTACCTCTTTGTTATTTCTGGGGTTCAGGGCGAAGCATTGAGGTCCAGAGAAGAGAGATGGAATGTGAGGGTGTTTGGCTGAGCTGGGATGTGAGTGGGGAAGGCATTCACGATGCAGCCTCTGGTTTTCTTCCAGGGACCCTCCCGAAACCCACCATCCGTGCTGAGCCAGGCTCTGTGGTCCCCTCCGGGAGCTCCGGGACCCTCTGGTGTCGAGGGACCACAAAGGCCCAAGAGTACTGTCTGTATACAGATGACATGTCTACGTGCTCGGACAGACAGAAACCACTGGAGCCTGGGGACAGAGCCAAGTTCTTCTTAAAGAGAAGTTATGGAGGGAAATATTCCTGTGCCTACCGCAGCCCCTCTGGCTGGTCAGAGCGCAGTGACCCCCTGGAGCTGGTGGTGACAGGTGAGGGGACACTCAGGGTCCCAGCCCCAGGCTCTGCCCTCAGGAAGGGGCTGCTCTCAGGGCCTCTGCCCTCTCACAGCCCAGCCCTTGGGGACGTGAAGGAGATGTGAACCCCAATTAATACACTCTCTTCTCCTCTCTTAGGAATCAACCCAAAACCCAGCCTCTCAGCCCTTCCCAGCCCTGTCGTGACCTCAGGAGGGAACGTGACCCTCCAGTGTGGCTCAGGGCAGGGATTTGACAGGTTCATTCTGACTAAGGAAGGAGAACACAGGCTCTCCTGGACCCTGGACTCAGAGAAACAATCCAGTGGGCTGTCCCAGGCCCTGTTCACTGTGGGCCCCGTGAACTCCAGCCTCAACTGGACATTCAGATGCTATGGCTCTTTTAAGAATAACCCCAGCAGTGGTCTGACCCTAGTGACCCCCTCGATCTACAGTTCTCAGGTGAGAAGCCCCTGAGCACTTTGTGTCTGAGCACAGTCAGCTCAGGGTCCTGTCCTCAGGACACTTGTGCAGTTAGATGAGAGTTAGGAGGTCTGAGGGGATGGTCACCCAGCAGAATCTTCTCCTCAGGGATGCTCTCACCTTTGCCTACTTCTACTCCCTGAGGCTTGAATTTGGAAGGTGGTAGGTGGCAAGGGGGTGTCTTTGAAGGGGACACTGAGCATATATAGGAGAAAAGATTGAGGGTTTGGGAACTCTAGGGTTAGCCCCAGCTTTTCACTGTCTTGTATTCTCATTTTCAGGACCTTCTGTGAGCCCCAGCCCCCCACCCACTGTGCCCATCTCTACAGCTGGTGAGTCACTGGGACTCTGCTCAGAGGGAGTACAGAGCACCCAGGAAGTCCTGAGAGTCTATCAGGGGATCTAATGCCAACCAGATACTAATAGATGTGCTTGTGTCCAAGAAAAAGGGCTGGGAGTTCTGGGCCCTGAGGCTGGCAGGTGTCAGGGGGGTGGTCATGGCAGAGGGAGATGCTGGCGCCCAAACAGGGGCCCCTACCCTTCACCACTCATCCAGATCCCCTGTAAGCCCTGAGGATGGTCTTACCCACACAGTGAGTCAGGCCCACATTGGGGTAAGAGAGGTTGTCTTCAGGAAGGTGGAAGGGGTTTTCATGGTAGACAAGGGTTGAGTCATGAGGGGTTCAAGTCTCTCTGGGGATGCTGAATTGGATGTTTCCTTACCCTTTTTGCGCCTCAGGGTCTCAAAGTTTAAAAGGAGAGATTTGTCAGCAGATATTTGATTTCCTTTCAGTTCTGGCTCTAATTTTCAGGAGAGGGGGCCTCATAGGGACACCCAAGATGTGGTGTGGAAACTGTCCCCTCTGTAGCAGTGATGGTGACATGCACAGGGAGGGGCAGGCAGGACAAGGGTCTGGGGCATCCAGGTCCTTTCCCTCAGCCCAGGCTCAGCTCAGAGGAGAGAGGGCTGGAGTCAGACCTGGTTTACTTCCAGGCTCTGCTGCTCCTGCGGGGGGTCAGGTGGTCCCTTCCCTTCCCTGAGTGTTGGGTCATGTCTGTCCATCCCTGGTCCCCTCCTGCTCACAGGCTGCTGTCAGATTAGGTGACATAAGGGGCCCCACAGAGCTCAGGAAGGCAGAGCCCCAGCCCAGCTTCACCTTCCCTAGGATACATCAGGGTCCTGCAAGGTGGACACATATCCCGGGAGATACACTGAGTCCACTCCACATCGTTGACCCTCCAATGTCCCTGCTGTGCTGGGGGTGGGAAATAAGAAAGGACCCTCAGCTCAGATGAGACATGACAGGCCCCTGCAGATGAGGAGCCCAGAGCACGAAGTTAAGGCCCCCCTGGGGAAGCATGAGGGGAGCACAGGGAACCCACAGTTTCAGGTTCCAGTCTCAGCCCTGCCCCATCCAGGCTGGGTGACCTGGGGCACATGACTGACCTCTCTGAGCCTCAGTGACCTGGGTGGAGGGGCACCTTCCCTGGTGCATGACTGTGTGAGGGGAGAGGGAGGAAGGACAGACCCCAGCAGGTCCCTGACACACAGCAGGTGCTCAGGAAACATTGACATTGGCTCACTTGTATTCAAGGTCTCACATGGGACCAGTATGTTCTGATCGGGGTCCTGGTGGCCTTCTTCCTGCTGCTCTTCTTCTTCTCCCTCTTTTTTGGATGCAGGTATCAGGGCAGAGGCAGAATGTCAGGTGAGTCGGGGATGTGGTGACCTGTGTTATAGCAGGTGGGGCTCAGAGCACCTGGCACAGGAAAATCTAACAGACGGAGGACAACTGAGAAAATTAATTTTCCAGAATCTTCCATCAGGAAATCTTGGACGAAACACTCGGTGTCAGCAAAGATGTACAGACGTAATTCATCTTCCATCGGTTTTAATCTCATGATCTTATGCACAGTGCGTGTTAAGGTTTTCTTGTTTTCTGTGGGGTCTCATGGGAAGGGGGCTCCCAACCTCACAGGGCTGACACTTTTCCTTTTGAGTGGCCCAGAGAGAGGTTCATGTCCAACCTCCTGCAAAGGCCACAGACCCACAGCCCCAAAACAGACACCTGCGGGTCATTAATTCCTGTCCCCGAAGACCCGATGCTGTCACTGACCATGGTCCTAGAGTGCATCTGACTCTTTACCTCACCCAGCTCCTTCTTAGATGTGGATGCCCTGGAAAAGCTTATCTGTGAGAGAAAATGACAGCTGCCCTGCCCCGGAGGAAGTACTAAAATTTCAGGAGAGGATGGGGGAGAATTAAATTTGGAGGGTGTGAAGGTCAAGGGTGAGAAGGACTGAAATCCGCACTGGGTGACCTGGTGCCTCACCTCATCTCTGGGTTAGTGGCCCATCAGGGAGCAGGCAGGAACTGCAGCCCTGAGATCTTGGGGACCCTGCCAGGAGACACACCCTGTTCTGCCCCAGTAGATGCTGCCCTGAAGGACCCACAGCCTGGGGAGACGGTGGAGCTGGACTCTCAGGTGAGACCCTGTTCCTCTCCAGGCACCAAGGACCTTCTTGTTGCCCAGTTTAATCCAATGAGCAACTTCATGTTCTAACTTTACCTGGTTCTCAGCAGTATCCACACTGACCTCTGCTTCTAGATACCCAGGTCGTCCTGCTGTGACTCACTCGTCCTGTTTTTTTTTGTGACTGCATGACCCCTCCTCTGTGGTCCCCTTTGCTGGCTCTTTCTCCTCTGTCTGACCCTGTGCAGCCCCAGAGCTCAGGAGGATGCATGAATAAGTGAATCCCCCACAGGTACCCAGGATCCCCTCATTCATTCCCCCAGCAGATGTGACAGGGAGCCCACTGTTCACAGCTCCATTTAGGTGCCGCGGTGCAGCCCTGAGCAACACTGTCTCCACACCCCTCGAGCTCACCTGTGTGTGAGGGGGACAGTATGCAAACAAGTGACAGTGTCCTAGAGAGCAAAGTGCTGTGACAGGAAATAAAGCAAAAGGAGGGTATAGACTGTGTGGTGGTGGTGAGAGGAGGGGACAGAAAAGAGGCAGGACCAGAATCTTCAGGAAGACGAGCCATGTGGCTGGAGCTAGATGAGCAAGAGATGGGCTATTAAGAAAAGAGTCATAACTGTGGAAGCATTCAGGTGCTCCATACTTAGGAAATTCCTGCAGATCCATAAGAAGATGGATGTAATCTGATTTAAAGTGTAAATAATCACTCGGGCAACACGTGAATATTTGACTGGAGGATGTCACAGTGCAATCAAGAGACACTGCTTCTGTATCACTGTCTCCTCAGAACAGGCACAATGAAGATGCCCAGGGAGAGTTGTACACCCAAGTGCATCAAGCAAGATCAAGACAGAGACAGGGCATGGGCAGCTCCACTTCCTCCCTGTCTGGGGGATTGCCAGACATGAAGGACAGACAAGCAGAGGAGGACAGACAGATGGACAGTCAGGAGGTTCACATCTTCCCCCACACCCCCAGGATTCCCCCAACCTCAACCATGTTTTATGCTTTTTACTCTCTTCCTTCTTCAGGCTGTTGTATCTGACACCCCCAAGGATGTGACCTATGCCCACCTGAACCTCTTGGCTCTCAGACAGGAGACCAGTGCACCCCTTTTCTCCCTGTCAGAGGATCCCCCAGATGAACCCAGCGTGTATGCTTCTCTGGCCATCCACTAGCCCACAAAGGACCCAAACCCCACATTTCAAAAAGGGAGCTGGCCAAACTCCAGAAGACATGAGAGCTTCCCCCATGGACACTCAGCTACTGACCCAGGCAGCCTGGACTTCTGAGGTGACCTCTAGAAGCTCCTGGGCACCTCAGGGCGTCACCTGATTCTATAGTCAAACATAACCAATATGTCTAACTTTGGAAATAAAGCCACAGACTTCTCAATAATCATTGTGTGAACCAAACTACTGTGAAGTTTTTCACTTGAATAATAATGTAAATCTGACAGGTCAAACCTACCAAATGGGAAAATGTAAAACCATGAATGAGGATCTTACAAAATCAAAAGCCCTACATATTTAATGCCCTAAGCTATAATGTCAAGCATTTAGAAAAAAAATATTGCATTGAATCCTCAGATTCATAGATGACTGGATTAGAAAGATGTGGAGTGTAAGCACATGAAATAGAAATCAGCCATAAAAAGTGTGCAATCCTGCCCTTTGCAATGACTTGGATGAACCACGAGGCTATTGTGCTGAGTGAAATAGTTCAGACAAAGAAATATTTTATTTATGCCTGGAATTTGCAACATCATCAAAACAAACACATTTATGGAAGTAAAAGGCATATGGTGATTGTGAAGGGAGGGGCTGCAGGGGTGGGTGAAAAGGGGGAGAAGGTCAATAACGTGATACCATTGCAGGGAGACAGATGGTTTTTGGCTCTGGTGGGGAGCACACTGTGAGATAAATATCAACTCTGCAATGTACCCCTAAAGTTCATAGCCTATTGTGTGTCAGCTGAACTTTATAAAAATATTCAACTAAAAATGATTAGTAAAGGAATCGCAAAATTTTTATAAAGGAAGATGTAGGAGAAACATGATACGGATGGCAGTAGCTACTACTGGGAATATCAACCACAAAAAATCTAGGAAAATTGATAGAGAACGTCCAGTTTTGAAAACATTGATCATATCTATAAACCTCAGCCTAAAAGCCCAAGAAAAAGGGTAGAACACACACATTTTTAACAGAAGAGATAAAGTAGCAGAAACCACAAAACCTTGCACAGATTTTGACAGAATAGGAGCAGGACATCATAGAAAATGGGATAACAACACATTAGAAAAAGTATTTCCAAATGAAGGCCTTCAAATGTACACTTGATGAGGAAGAAATCTCTGCCACACTGTGTACAGATCAAATACACTGATACTGTTACAAAAAATTGTCCAACTGAAATTCTGTTCAGGGGGTTTTATTCCTAAGTTCTTTCACGCGTGCACACACACACGCACACACACACACACAGGTGCATGCACACACACACAAAGGTGCATGCACACACACAAATGCATGCACACACAACTGAAATGACACAAATTCTTCGTCGGAAAACAAGAAAGAAGTACATCTTAACACGTTAAAATTAAACATTTTAAAATTGATTTTTCGAGGGAGAAGATGGGAGAAGGAAGAGAGAGAGAGAGAAACATTGATGTGAGAGTGATCACCACAGTGTCTCCAACCTGGGCCTGTGTTCATTGTCCCAGGACACCTGCCCGACTCTGCCCCTGGGTGTCCCAGGGTCCCCTGCTCTGTCACAACCAGGTTGAGAAGAGACGTCATCACCTCACCTCAGGCAAGGAATAGTCTCAGAAAGAAGAAATACCTGCTCCAGGCTGACAGTCCACACACGCCACAGCTCTAATTTCAATTAAACGTGGAATCGCCTCTCACCCAGGGTTTTAAGGCAGAACCCAGGGGGTAAAAGGATTGCTGTCCAGGAGAAAATGGGGGCTGAGGATGCAGTGATGACTCAGATGTTCTGAAAGAGAGAGATAAAGAGAAATAGGGTGCTAGTGATAGAATGAGGACGTTACTAATGGGAAGTGTTAGGGAGAAAGAGCCCAGGCCAGGAGCAAGGATTTTTTTAAAAATTATTTATTGTTGCCAGGATTACAGATGTCCCCCATCACCCCTCCTTTGCCTCCCTTCATCCAGTGGCTGCCCCACCGCATGCCTTTGTACAGTATTCCCTGTGTCAGTGGGCTGTGCATATCTGCATATATGTTATTTGGTTAATCTCTTCCTGTACTCCCTCGCCCCTCCCCTCCGTGGTCTGTCAGTCTGTTTCATGCAACCATGCTCTGGACCTACTCTGTTCATCAGTTTATTTTGCTTAGTAGATTCCATGTCAGGTTTGGAATTAGGGTAATGATGGCCTCAAAAGAGAGCGTGGGAGTCTTTATTCCCCTTTAATTTTTTAGAATCGTTTTGGAATAAGAAGATAGGCATATGTTCTCCTTTGAGTGTTTGGTAAAACTCCCCTAGGAAGCTGTTAGGTTCAGGATTTTTGTTTGTAAGGATTTTTGTTTGTTTGTTTGTTTGCTTGATTGTTTTTTTAGTTCTCCAATGCCATTAGTTATTACAGGTCTATTCAGGTTTTGTGATTTTTTCCTGACTCAGTTTTGTAAGATTGTATGTTTCCAGGAGTTTGTCCTTACTGTTCAGGTTGCCCAGTTTGTTAGCATATAGTTGTTTATTATTTTCATACAATTTTTTTGCATTTCTCTAGTGTGTTGTTCCTTCTCCTCTTTTGTGTATGATTTTCCTTATTCGTGTTCTCTCTCTTGTTTCTTGTTGAATCTGGCTAGAGGTTCATCAATCTTGTTTATCTTATGAGAGAACCAGCTCCTGGTTATATTGATGTTTTGCGTGTTTGTTTTTTTCTTCTTTTTTTTTAAGTCTGTATGCCATTTATTTCTACTCTGATCTTTATTATTATTTTTCTTCTACTTACTCTCGTTTTTTTTTGTTGATTTCTTTCTAATTTTTCAGTTGTAGTGTTAGATAGTTTATTACATATTATTCTTGTTTCTTGAGGTAGGTCTGTAATGCTATGAACCTCCTCAGAACTGATGCCTAGGATCAATTCTAAGGTGGCTGACTGTAAGGCTCAACTCTCACCATGTTGTGCAATTGCTTGTACAGGTGCTTACAGACTAAAACAAACATAAAAATAACAGAACATGACATGAGGCACGTCTGAAAGTACACCTTGTTCCACAGACTCACTAACCTGTCTGGAACCCCATGAGGTAGAGACCATGATATGCCCGCTATACTGCAAGGATCTGTCATGATTCAGGTGACTCCACATGAATGGTCAAATGTCATTCTTCCTTCTGCTCCATTTAATTAGGAATCTCAGCTTTTCAACCTCTCGAAGCTCTAACATCTGCATCTCATCTGAATGGCTGGTTTTCTTTCCCCCATATCTCAGGAAGAGTGGCCTCTCACTACATTCGTAGAGGGTTCATTGGTATCACTGAGCTACATGCACATGAGGGAAGTGAGACCATGAGAGTAAGTGAGCTGCTCAAGTGTCCGTCAATCATTCGGGATGTGTTAGTGCTACAGCTGCCTTTTACACTGAGTCTGTGTAGCCTGGCTGGTGTGCCTCAGTACACTGAGCATTGTCCCATGGAGTGAGAGGTCCCAGTTCAGATTGCGGTTGGTACACAGGCCCAAGTTGCAGGCTCCATCCCCAGAAGATGGCTTGCAGAAGGCAGCTGATTGATGTTTCTGTTTGACATTAATGTTGAAATTGATCTCCCCCTTCCTCTCTTTCTAAAAAAAATGATAAGCAGATATTTTAGAACAATAAAATAAAGTGTGTAAAGAACACAAACTTTATACTAAAGTAAAACAATACATGATAACGTCATGCATTACTTTTAAAATGCAGAGTGTGCTTTCAAAATTACCCAATAAAAAAGACATCTGAACAATCTTAAAAAGATGTGTCTCTGTGTGTGTTTACTGCCTTCAAACAGAATCTCATGAATGTCAAGTTTGGGGAATTGTGAAAGGTCTTAACGGTTTGAAGAGGAGAGTGACAACCAGCTTCAAAGGTGCTCCAAAAAAACAGAGATGACTTAAATGATTTATCCCAAGGAGATGGAGGTAGAGATTTACTGCTAACAGAAACAGAACGTCAGGTGAAAACAGGAAGAAGACCCTGTGATTCAGGGCCAGGAGGTAGAGCTGAACTTTTCCGTGGGAGCAGAAGCATACGACAGAGCCCCCAGGCTCTTTTCTCTCCCACCTCCGGGCTCACTGTCTCTGAAGGCACCTTGCTGTCCCCATCAGCAAGGCAGGAAGGGAAGGTCACCTTCCCACCCACCAAGGGAGGTCATCGCGTTTCCAACCTTCCAGGGTTCTGAGCTCCACCCTTGACTTCCCTACCACAGGTCACCTCCACATTGTTCTTTCCAACTAACATTTAAGAGTCTCTATATACTGCTGAAAATCTTTTCATGGTCCCCATGATTTTTGGTTAAATACAGATTCTTCTGTCTGAACTGAAAACTGCTCTTGGTCGTTCAGACGTTACCCTACTATCTGAGCTCTCAATCCTGATTTTTTCACCCGGACGAATGCAGTTACCTCGAGAACAGACATCACACACACATCACACACACATACACAGACACACACACACGCATGCTGACACACACACACTCACCCACACTTTAACACATTGACATCGTCCACTACTGCCTATGTGTGGGCTCTCCTAGTGTTCTATGCAATTCACAAATCCCTTCCCATCCCAGAGCTAAAGCCCAGACTAGAAGCAACACGATTTCTTCTTCTCATTTCTCTTCTCTGCATGTGGTGTTGACTGTTAAGGGTTAAGAGAGGATTTTGTGGTAAATCCATGTTGCCATTTATGTAACATCGTTAGAAACACAAGAATGGGAAATCAATTACTGTTGATATGTTTTATTTCCATATTTTGCATTTCTCTAGAATGTATGATCTTCATAACCCAGTCTGACCATCACAGTCCATTCCTATGTATGACTTTTGCCTTAAGGACATAGTCCCACCGCTTTGCCTGGGGGAGCACACCATGATCAACCACCACCTCACCCTCTCTCACTGCTGTTCTAGGGTCTCTCTGTCTCTCGGGTTCTGTAAAATGTTCTTTGCTCTCAAGAACAGTCTCACTTTCTCCTCTAAGGATTCCACATCTTCAAACACCCATTGCCTCAATCACAGTATAGTCACTGTCCCAGTTGTTCTCATATTTTCTCTCATTTCTCTTTTGTAAGAAACATAATTCCAGTGTTAGGCTTAGAAAGCTGAAACAATGCTAATAACAATTTCTCAGAATACAGGAAATGGGTCTCCTGGATTACGGATGTGTTTCTGGTTCTGGCCCAAATACTCAACAAGGTAGTAGATGATCAGTAAACATTTTTTTTTGGATGAGCAAATACCAAAATTTAATTCTGTGTGTGGAAGGCTGAGGAAATGTGTAGGGAGTTCTATTGGGAGCCATCCAGTCAGGGTGAACTCAGGATGAAAACCCGAGATCTTCCCTTCCTGAGAAGGAGTTCAGACCCGGTTGAATGTCCTGGGTCAGGAAAAAACCCAAATCTTGGCCAAGTGTCTCCAGAGGTCCTGGAGTCCTTAGGAGGACTCGTCATGGAAACACCCAGATCCCTGACAGGGCGGGGCGGACCCTCTGCTTAGGTTCACAGTGGTGGGAACCGGAAGGTGGCAGAAGCTCCTGACACACCACATCCTGTGCGTCTCCACCCTCAGGCCAGGGTCAGTCCATCTGCAGAGCGGGAGCTCTTAGAGCAGTTGCCATGATGTCCATCCTCCCTGCTCTTCTCTGCCTCGGTCAGTTGTGGACATGGGGAGCAGGCTGGCAGAGGAAACAAGGAGCTTACACTCTCAGTTCATGGGAACCTACGCCTCAGGCAGCAGAGTGGACGGGGGACAGAGGGAAGAGAATGAGCTCAGACGTCCAGAAGCAAATCTCTCACACGGTCTCTCTTTCACCGCTGAGTCTGGACCAGAGGATCCACACGCGGTCAGGTGAGTCCCTCCCAGGCTGCATGTCCCACCTCTTCCCTCACACCTGGGGCTCAGGACAGAGCACAGAAGTCCAGGGATAAGGTGATAAAATGTGAGCGTTTGGGGCTGAGCAGGGGCCTGAGGGTTGGGAACATCTCTGTGATGCTGTCTGATTTTCTTCCAGGGACCCTCCCCAAAGCCACCCTCTGGGCTGAGCCAGGCTCTGTGATCCCCTTGGGGAGTCCTGTGACCCTGTGGTGTCAGGGGATCCTGGAAGCCCAGGAGTTCCGTGTGGTTCGTAATCAAGGGCGTGTGCATTCAGAGAGACAGATTCCAAGTAAGCCCAGGGACAAGGTCCAGGTCTCCATCACCCACATGACAGAGCATGATGCAGGGAGATATCGCTGTTACTATGTCAGCCCCACTGGATGGTCAGAGTTCAGTGACCCCCTGGAGCTGGTGGTGACAGGTGAGGGGACACTCAGGGGTCCCAGCTTCAGGCTCTGCCCTGAGGGTGTCTCCTCTCTCACAGCCCCGCCTTGGGGGACACGAGGGAGGTTGCAGCTACCTAATTTTACAACCTACCTCTTTTTCTTCTAGGATCCTACAGCAAACCCATCCTCTCAGCCCTGCCCAGCCCTGTCGTGACCTCAAGAGGGAACGTGACCCTCCAGTGTGGCTCAGGGCAGAAATTTGACAGGTTCATTCTGACTAAGGAAGGAGAACACAGGCTCTCCTGGACCCTGGACTCAGAGAAAATATCCAGTGGGCTGTCCCAGGCCCTGTTCAAGGTGGGCCCCCTGAACTCCAGCCTCAACTGGACATTCAGATGTTATGGCTCTTTTAAGAAAACTCCCTTGCAGTGGTCCGACCCAAGTGACCCCCTGGATTTACAGTTCTCAGGTGAGGAGTTCATGACCACTTTGTGTCTGAGCAACATCATCTCAGGGTCCTGTCCCCAGCAGACAAGAAAAGTTGGATGACGGTGAGGGGCTGTGAGGGATGGTCACCCAGCATCAATCTACCCCTCAAAGATGCTCTAATCTTTGTCTACTTCTTTCTGAGGCTTGAATTTGGAAGGTTGTAGGTGGCCAAAGGCATGTCTTTGGTGGCAAGACAGAGCACATATAGGAGAAGATATTGAGGGTTTTGGAACTCCAGGGTTAGCCCCAGCCTCTCACTTTCTTGTATCCTCATTTTCAGAACCCCCTGTGGGCACCAGACCCCCACCCACAGATTCCATCTCTATAGCTGGTGAGTCACTGGGACTCTGCTCAGAGGGAGCACAGAGCACCCAGAAATTCCTGAGAGTCTATCAGGGGATCTAATGTCAATTAGATACTCAAGGACGGGCTTGTGTCCAAGGGGGGATGTGGCTGGGAGTTTCTGGGCCTTGAAGCTGGCAGGTGGCAGGTGGGGTGGTCATGACAGAAGGAGATGTTGGGAGCCAAGTTGGGGGAAGAGAAACTGGGCTCCAGGGATTAGAGAGCAGCCTCCACCCCTCACCCCGCATCCAGATGTCCAAGAAGCCCTTAGGATAGTCCCACCCCCACAGTGAGTTATGCCCACATTGGTGTAGGTGAGGATCTCTGTGGAGTGGTGGTGGGTGTCTTCATGAGGAACAGAGGCTGATTCATAGATGGTTCAGTCCATCTGGAAACTCAGACATAAACACACCCTTCCCCTGTCTGGGCCTCAGGGTCCCCACATGTAAAAGGACAGATTGGTGGCTCAAAACTTAGATTTTTCTCTGACTCTGACCTCCTGGTAAAGGAGGCCTCACAGGAACACCCAGGAGGTGGGGTGGGGACTGTCCCCTCTGCAGCAGTGATGGTGACATGCACAGGGAGGGGCAGGCAGGACAAGGGTCCGGGGCATCCAGGTCCTTTCCCTCAGCCCAGGCTCAGCTCAGAGGAGAGAGGGCTGGAGTCAGACCTGGTTCAGTTCCCAGCTCTGCTGCTCCTGCGGGGGGTCAGGTGGTCTCTTCTCTTTCCTGAGTGTTGGGTCATGTCTGTCCATCCCGGGTCCCCTCCTGCTCACAGGCTGCTGTCAGATCAGGTGACATAAGAGACCCCACAGAGCTCAGAAAGGCAGAGCCCCAGCCCAGCCCCAACTCCTAGGGGGCAACTCCAGGGTGGAGATGGATCCAGGGGAGACACAGAGACCACCCCACACCCCTGCCCCTCCTGTGTCCCTGCTGTACTGGGGGTAGGGAATAAGGAAGGACCCTCAGCTCAGATGAGACATGGACAGGCCCCTGCAGATGAGGAGCCCAGAGCATGAAGTTGAGGTCCCTCTGGGGCAGCATTAGGAGAGCACAGGGCACCCACATTCCCGGGTTCAAGTCCAAGCCCTGCCCCATCCAGGCTGGGTGACCTGGGGCACATGATTCACCTCTCTGAGCCTCAGTGTCCTGGGTGGTGAGGCACCGTCCCTGGTGCATGACTGTGTGAGGGGAGAGGGTTAAATGACAGACCCCAGCATGTGCCTCACACACAGCAGGTGCTCAATAAATTACATCATAGGTTCATTCATGATGTCACTCATTTCCAAGGACCCCCATCGTCCCCGTATGTCCTGAAAGGGATCTCTGTGGCCCTGGTCCTGCTCACACTGCTCCTCCTCCTTTTCCTGTTCCTCCTCTACCGGCATCAGAGCAAACACAGGACCTCAGGTGAGTAGAGATCAAGGTGACCTGGGCCACAGAATGGGGGGAGGGTGTGGACCAAATAGATGAAGAAGGTCAGCTGAGAAAAAGATTTCTCTAGAATCTCAAATCAGGAAAAAATCTGCCCTGAACACTCCTGTCTCTTCCTCCAGTTACAACCGAGTGGGCACAACCAGGAGCAGCCCCTCTGTGCGAGGTAGAGGCAGCAGCTGCCTTAAAGGGCAAACTGGGATTTCAGGAGATGATGGGGAGGGTTTGAGTGGAGGGTGTGAGGTCAGAGGTGAGAAGGACTGAAAACCACACTGCGTGACCTGGTGCCTCACCACAACCCTGGATGAGGGGTTCTTCTGGAAGCAGGGTGGGTCTGTAGACCTGAGAAATGGGGGACCCTGAAGGAGACACATCCTGTTCTGCCCCAGCAGATGCTGCCATTAAGGACCCACAGCCTGGGGAGAACGTGGAACTGGACTCCCAGGTGAGACCCTGCTTTTGTCCAGGCCTCCAGTGACCTTGCTTTGCCCCGTTTAATCCACACTTTCCTGTCCTAACCTCACCTGGTTCTCAGCAGTGTCCACACTGACCTCTGCTTCTGGGCACTCAGGTCGTCCTGCTGTGACTCACTGCTCCTGGTTTCCTTGTGACCTCATGACCCCTCCTCTGTGGTCCCTTTGCTGGCTCCTCGTCCTCTGTCTGACCATGTGCAGCCCCAGAGCTCAAGAAGATGCATGAATAAGTGAATCCCCCACAGGTCCCCAGGATCCCCTTTCATTTCCCCCGCAGATGTGACGGGGAGCTCACTGTTCACAGCTTCATTTAGGTGCCGCGGTGCAGCCTTGAGTAACACTGTCTCCACCCCCCTCGATCTCACCTGTGGGTGAGGGGGACAGTATGCAAACAAGTGACAGTGTCTTAGACAGCAAAGTGCTGTGAATGGAAATAAAACAAGAAGACGGAATAGACTGCATGGTGGGGGCAGGCAGAAAGAAAACTGGAGGTGCAAAGGTCCTGAGGCAGGAGATGCTTCTTCAGGACGATGGTTCATGTGCCTGGAGCTAGATGTGCAAGAGATAGGATGTTAGGATAAGAATTAGAACCATAGAAACATCCAGAAGTCCCTGCAGAGTTCATCAGGAAAGCGATGAAATCTGAATTCAGGTGGAAACCTTCTGGCAACATGTGAATAACTGATTGGAGGATGTTGCGGCGGAATCAGGAGACACGAGTTTTGTCTCACTGTCTCTCCACAGAGCAGGCATGATGAAGACCCTCATGGAGCGACATACGCCCAGGTGAAACCCTCAAGATCACGACCCCGGCAGAAAATAGGAGGCTTTTCTTTCTCCCAGTCAAAGGAGTTTCTGGTCACAAAGGTCAAAAAAGCAGAAAATGACAGACAGGTGAGTTCTATTCTCTCCAGACATCTAGGATTCCCCCAACTCCAGCCATGTGTCAACCCCTTCACCCTTCTTTTGCTGCAGGCTGTTGCATCAGATGCCCCCCAGGATGTGACCTACGCCCAGCTGAACCTCTTGGCCCTCAGACAGGAGGCAAATGCACCCCCTTTCTGCCCGTCAGAGAAACCCCCTGATGAGCCCAGTGTGTACGCCGCTCTGGCCACCCTCTAGCCCAGGAAGAACCCAGACCCAACACTCCCAGGAAGGGGTGACATGGTCTTTGCAAAGCAGGAAAACTACTCCCATGAACACTGCTGGTGGCCCCAGCCAGCCTGCAGACCTGAGAAGGACACCCAGCAGCAATGAGGGTGCTGGAGGAGTCCCCTGATTCCATAGCCAAGGTAACCAATGCCCCTACATTTTGGAAATAAAGCAGCAGACTTCTCAATAATCAATGTGTGAACCAAGACAAAAGTGAATGTTTTTATTTCCATAATAATGCCAATCTGACACATCACCTATAAAATGAGAAAATTAAAAACCAAGCATGATCTCACTCATATGTGGAAGCTAATGAACAAAATAAACGGGTGAAGAAAATAGAAACAGAGTTGCCCCGGACAGTTTGGCTCAGCAGTTAGAGCATCGGTTCAAGGACCAAAGAGTCTCAGGTTCGGTTCCATTCAAGGGCATGTACCTCAGTTCAGATTCTTCCTTATGCTGGTCGGGGTTTTTGCGGGCGGCAACAAACGGACACGTCATTCTTATATTGATGTCATTCTCTCTCTTTTCCACTCTGTCTGAAGGTAAATGGAAATAGATCTTAGGGTGAGAATTAAGAAAACAAAACAAAACAAAACACAAGCCAGAGACATGGATACAATGGATACACAGAACAGACTGGTGAATCTCAGAGGGATGGCGGGGGTGGGAAGAGATTAGCAAAGAACATATATGCATATATACATTGCCCATGGACACAGACAGTAGGGTGGTCAAGGTCTGGGTTGGGGCAGAAACATGATGGAGGCGGGCCATGGGTGGAAAATGGAGGACATCTCTCAACATTAAAGATTTAAAACATCATGAACGAATATATTAGAAAAGAAAAAATAACTAAATCAATGAGCTATTCTGTCAAGATTTTAGAAAAAATTGCTTGGAATCCTTTACTTCCATAGATGACTGAATAAGAAAGTGTGACGTGTGTACAGAACAGTATAGCAATGAGCCATAAAACATAATGAAGTTGTGCCTTTTGCAACAACATGGGTGAACCTAGAGGGCATTATCCTGAGTGTGATAATTCAGACAGAGAAAGATTTTCCCTTTTATGTGGAATTTTCAACATAATAGAAACAAAGAAAACAAAAACACACAGAAATGAAGAACAAACTGATGGATGTCAGAGGGGAAGGGCTGGAGGGGTGGATGAAAAGGGGGAGGAAGTCAATAATGTGCGATACCTTTTCAGGGAGACAGATGGTTCCTTGACTCTGCGTGGGGATATTCAAAGATGTGGCTCAAATCAGACTGTTAGCACCTGCTATTTTTAGGGTGAGAAGAGCTGGTTCTCTTCCTGTGTGACAAACTCCTTGTACACTGTAGACACTGTGGTGTGGGGACACTGTCCACCACATCCTGTGAGTTAGTCTCTTGAGCTTCATGTTAACAACGGAAAAATAAATCAGCACGAGCTTTGCATACGATTTTCCACTGGGAGTCACTCCTTTTTCTGATGTATGAACAACAAAATCCTGCTAGTGCCAAGAATATTCAGAGTTGTCATCCCGGAATCCACCAGTCAGGACAGCTCGCTTACATTCAAGAGGCCGTGCAGACCAAACCCGGTCCAGCCGTGACCAGGAATGTGCATGTGTATCTAGGAAGCTTCTCTTAAGACCATGGACCTCCACCAGCTCCCCTAATTTTCTACAATTTTATGTGTTCATCTTGAGAGGTACTAATTATTTCAGCACTGGAGCCTGGACAGCTCCATTCATCCAGAGGGCCCATAAATATGAGTATATGTCTTTACATGTGTTTTACGTCGTAAAATTTTTTTTATAGATTTAGATTTTTAAAATTGTTTACCTTCATGACAAGTGTAGTTTAATTTTATATAGACATTTTACCCTCTAGGTATTTTGGGCATCTAGAACATGTTCATCAGAATAAACACGAGCTATTTAAAATGAAAAAGGATGGCCCAGCTGGTGTGGCTCAGTGGCTGAGCATTGACCCATGCACCAAGAGGTCACCGGTTCGATTTCTGGTCAGGGTACATGCCCAGCTTGTGGGGACAATCTTTATTGGGGGCATGTAGGTGGTGGCCAGTCTATGTTACCTCTCATTGACATTTCTATCTCTTTTTCTTCCTTCCTCTCTCTCTAATGTCCATAAAGAATACATGTTTATAAAGGAATAAGATGACCCTACAGTTCATATTATGTCCAAGGACAAAGACTCCTGGACGCAAAACAGTAATTTAGCTGAAGACAATAGAAGATACATGCACTATGTCGAGGAGTTTGTATTTCTCCCTTAAACTTGTAATTTTAGTCACAGAAAGGTAGGCATGAATGGCATGAGGGGATGATTCTTTGCAAAATTCTGCCTACACCCATAAAGAAGATTGGATGTCAATGTTTGTAAGTGGCATGTTAAAGTATTTGCTTGTTTTTCTAATGTTGCTGCTGTCATCTTACAGATTTGTAAGTATTGCTTCTGTTTCTCAGTCCCAGTCCCTTGTGTCATTTTGACTTCGCAAACACCTCCTCACACCCTGACCTATGGTGTGGTTTTCTATTCACTCACTTCTGGGTGTCTATGAAAAAGACTTCTTGTATTTACTGGATTGCAATGAACCAAGTTTTCCACTACGTTCATCTGTGGTCCCCATTTAAAAAAAGGTTGCTTTCACAATGCTGTAAAAATATTTCTCTATATTCTTTGCTAAGGAAAAATTGGTTTACGCTTCATATTCTCCTCTATACCTCATGTCACACTAAAGTTGTGTATTATATGGGCAGCCTTGAAAGTTGACCCTGTTCCATAGACTCTCCAACAGATTCAGCCCCACATGAAGGAAAGACCGGGATCCCCTGCCCTGTGCTACAGGCATCTGTCATGGTCCAGGTGACTGTACACGACTGGCCAGATATGCATTATTCCTCCTGTTCTAGTGGATGAGGAATCTCTACTCATCCATTTCTCAAAGCTCTCACATCCCCATGTAACTCTGAACGACTTGTTTCCTCTCCCGCTTATCTCAGGGAGCGTGAACTCTCACCACATTTGCGGGGGTGGAGTGGGTATCGCTGAGCTACATATAAGGGAAGTCAGACAAAGAGAGGAAGTGAGCGGCTGAAGGATCTGACGGTCATCAGGCTGAGGTAGTGCCACCCTGATATTTAAAGTGTGTATGTTTTCAAAGCAATAAACCTTATCTAAGCGATCATCTGTTACTTTTATACGGAGGAGTGTATATTCAATAATACAACATAAGCATAAAGATACATGGACAATCTTAAAAAAAAGTGTCTCTGTGTGTGTTTACTGCCTTCAAACAAAATCTCATGAATGTCAATTTTGTGTGAATCTTGAAATGTCTCCACAGTTAAGAGGAGAGAGACACCAGCTTCTCAGGTGCTCTGAAAAGGCAGTCATGACTCAACTGATTTACCCCAAGGAGATGGAGGGAGAGGTCCACTGCTCAGAAACAGAAAGTCAGGTGGAGACAGTGTGAGGACACCTGGGATCCAGGGCCAGAGGAAGAGCCAAGCTTCCCTGTGGGAGCAGAAGCACATTGCACAGCCCCAGGCTCGTCCCTCCCCCACCCCTTGGCTCCCTGTCTCTGAGGCCACCTTGCTGTCTCCATCAGCAAGGCAGGAAGGGAAGGTAACCTTCCCACCCCCCAAGGCAGCAGTCATGTTTCCAAACTTTCAGTGTTCTGAGCTCCACCCCCTCACTCCCTTCTCCTGGTCACCCCCACATGGTTCTTTCCAACTTAACTTTTGAGTCTCTTAATTTTCTGCTCAAAATTTGTCCATGGTCCTCTCTCTCTCCGAGTAAAGTCAAACTCTTCTGTCTGAGGTGAAGGTGGCTCATGGTCGTCGAGATGTGACCCTCCCATCTCAGCCCTCACTTCTGATTCCCTCATCGTGGCAAGTGCAGGTACCCCGTGACACACACTCACACACCTACGGACTACCACACACCCACACACTCATGCACACACACACATACACCCTCAGTCACACTTAAACACACTCACACCATCTGCTACTGACCACGTCTGTAATTTCTTTGACTTTTATACAACTAGCCTGTACAACTCAACAAAAGGAAGACAACAAACCCAATGAAAAAATGGGCAGAGGAACTAAATAGACACCTCTCCAAACAGAACATACAAATGGCCAAGAGACATGTGAAAAAACGCTCATCATCACTAACCCTCAGAGAGATGCAAATTAAAACAACAATGAGGTATCACCTCACACCTGTCAGAATGGCCACCATCAACAAATTATCAAACAACAAGTGTCGGCGAGGGTATGGAGAAAAGGGGACTCTAGTACACTGGTGGTGGGAATGCAGACAGGTGCAGCCACTATGGAAAACAATATGGTGTTACCTCTAAAAGTTAAAAATTGAACTGCCATTTTTCCCCGTAATCCCACTTCTAGGAATATACCCTAAAAAGCCTGAAACACCAATTAGAAAGAATATATGTACCCCCATGTTTATAGCAACACTATTTACAATAGCTAAGATCTGGAAACAGACAAATGTCCATCAGTAGAGAAATGGAGAAAAAACTATGGTTCATATACACAATGGCGTGCTGTGAGGCTTTAAGAAAGAATGATCTCTTATTTTTTGAGATGACATGGAGGGACCTGGAAAGTATTATCCTAAGCAAAACAAGCCAAACAGAAAGACATGTATTATATGATTTCACTTATTTGTGGAATATAATGAACATAACAGTCTGAAAAATGGGGTAGTCCCAAAGACATGAAAGTGGGGTACAAACTGACATTCCCCAGGAGAGGGGGTAGTGGGGGAGAGGTAAACCACAGAACTTATATGCATGTATGCATGAAAAATGGACATGGACTACAAAGCTGTGGACAGGGCCAGGGGGGAGGGGGAGGGAAGAATCAGTGGAGGAAAAAGAAGCAACATCTGTAACAAAAATTAATATATTAATTTAAAATAAATAA